TTTTTGAACAATCTCTCCGTCTTCAATAGGAACAGCATCAAAATTCGAAATCTTTCCTTCTTGTATCAGTAGCTTGCAAACTGACCTGCTCAATTTGAACCGGGATATTACCTTTTTCTACTTCCTTACTAGCTTCAGAACCAAAAGCTAGCACATTAAACTTGTTAGCTGATTCCTTATGAGAAGCATCAATTCTCCCAGCCAAAGGCTTAATTGCAGAATTCTAATTTTGAAATTTCTTTCTTCTTTTACTTCTCTTGAAATTAACATGTATCCAAGGACCCAAAGCTATTTTATCAGAACCAACCGGTCCTTCAGAGCTCAAACCTTTATTCTCATTATTCTTTGATTCCAAGTTGACCTTATTTTGATCTTCTATAAGAACAACCTGACACTAATCGATTTTATGGCCAATCTTACACATTTGAAACACGGGCACAAGATCTTCTCATATTCAACATTTTGAAAGAATTTTTCATATAAACCCTCAATCCAAACTCTATTAGTAATTTATAGTCTAGATTAATTCAAACACAAGCTCTAGCAAATTCAGTCTACCCACTTAAACATTTTTCTATCCAAGAACAATGGAACTACTATCTTTGAAACGATCTTCGTAACATTAACCTCATCCCAACAATGCAGATGCAGATGAGGCAATCTTATCCAAATTAGTGAGGATAACCCTTTTAACGACGTTGGGGAGAATTGCGGTGTCCATTTATCCATCCCTATAATATGTCCACCCACATACCAAGGACCACCGCTCAGAACTTCTTCCATAATTTGAGTAGATTGAGATGAACACAAAATCCAATCTAAATCCAATGAGGTTAGCTGAAAAGAACCAAATCTATCCCATTGTCTCCTTAGCTCAATGCTACAAAGAGAAAATGGAATTTCTTTCCCAAACACTTTCACCACAAGAGAGTTTTGAAGTAACTTCACATTCTCACATACCTTATCCATATTCAATTTAACCACATTTGCATCTACAACTTCTGCAGGCTCCGGATTCACATAATTCACTTTAATATGATGGCTCTTATACCACTCATTTACCGAACCAAAATAGCTATTGTCAGTTTCCAGTAACACCTTCATTCCCTTCTTCATAGGCATTTCTTCAACAGTAATCAAATCTTTATCTTGCTTTGTCATATCTAAATTCAAATTTGAAAATCCCTATTTTTCCGCAATGTTTTCAGCAATAGCAAGATTAGAGAATCTGCTAACCTTCAATTTGAAGCCAATGGAAGATGAAGCTTCCGAATCATTTTCCATTCCAGACAATAGATTCTTAATTGGTGAAGGAGCCATCAAAATCTTTTTCTGAACGGCTTCAGTTATTTCCTTCCCCTTACCCATCACCGAAACAACCTCATTCATAGATGATCAAAGGACGTTGTTTGATCTTAATATCCCGGTTGGTAATACTCATGCTTTTGGATCCACCATGAAAATCACTAGAATACCTCGCAGAGTATGGGATGGAGGTGTTCCCGTCATCAGAAGGCGATGACCGGCAACCCTCCGCCACCATTCAATCAAATTGGGAATTGAGGATCGGAGTAATTCAAAAAATAAACAAAGCTTTATCCCCCTGAAATCCTGGAGCATCTCTCCCCCCTTAAATCTCATAGTTCAAGTACAGTATTTGTGTTATGATAGTGTAGACAAACTAATTTTCTACACACTCGATCCTAATGAGTGTATTTTAGGATAGGTGTTGGTGGAAAACACATATAATTGGATTATTCATCTCTATTACACCTCAGGTAAACTAACAAGATAGGGAGGGTTGAAATAAGGTGTGACATCATGCACATCTCATTGGGTTTTCTTATTGAAAGAAAAAACCGACATGGGATACATTTTTATCATTTCAACACCATGATCCACACTCAATTTCAATCCAAATCTATTTCTTAAAAAACAATAATGCCAAAGAATACTTTGAATAGGTATTAGCAAATTATCTCCCAAAGTTTTATGTCAACACTCCTCAATAGGGATGTTGAAAGGAAAAATTAATACCTCTTAGAGCTAGATAGATCACTAATGGTTTCCATAAATATTCCTAAGCATCATTGGAGAGAAGTTGACCTAAAACTATAAATCTCATTAATAAAACACCCTCAACAGTACTTAAATTTCAAACCCTTCTTTATTCATTTCCCAAGAATAAATTCATTTTTTATCATCCTTCAAAAGATTTTGGGTGTTCAATCTTAATTCACATTCATTAGCACTAGATCAAATTAAGCCCTAAACCTATCAAGAGTAATTTTATTATACACTCACCAAATTAAAAATGTACAAATGTTAATTCCTGATTACTAGAAAAATTTATCATATCATGGACATAACCTTGCTTAAACACCAACATTATAATTCCAAACTCAATTCAGGAGAAGGAAATTCAAAAACAAGAATTTCAAGTTTAAAACTAATTTGACCATCCAACATCAACTCTCATCAAAGTCATCAATAATGAATATTTCTTAGTGCAACCCAATTCAACCTACGAAACCCTTACCGGATCCACAAACTCCCCCATGAACTTATAAATACACCATCATATATAGAATGAGCTTCATATCTATACTAGGACGGAAAGGGAAAACTAAGAAGGCAACAACCAACATATCCCTAGCACACCCAAAAACACAAACCTAATTCAAAAACCAATGAAGAATAAACTAGTTTGAATAAATCCATAGATGATGATGTAGATCACTACTATCCTACTGCCTTAAGAAAAGGGATGAGGTCATGCTCCAAACACCCAATCTATGATTTCGTAACTTCTAAAGAGCTTTCACTGAATTTCATATTTTCGTCACTTCTCTTTATTAAAAATAAATTCGAAATAATATTTGTGAAGCTCTAAAAACTACCAAGTGGAAAAAAATCATAATGGAAAAAATTCATGCCTTAAAAAAGAAAGGTACATGAAAAGTTTTTAAACTTCCACCAAGAAAATAACCAATTGGATATAAATGGAGTTTTACAGTAAAATATAAAGCAGACAAGAACATGGATAAATTTAAAGCCCAACTTGTTACAAAATAATATACCCAACCATATGATACCTGACTATTACAAAACACTTCATAGTTGCAAAACTCATCAGCATTCAAGTTTGACCCTCTCTTACACCATATTTGGACCAGCCTCTATATCAACTTGATATTAAGAATGATCTTCTTATTGGGAAACTTGAGGAGGAAGCACACATGGAAATCCCACTTAGATTGAAAAATCAAAGAAACATTAATAAGGTATGTCAAATCTAAAAACTTTGTAGCCTTAAACAATCTCTTGGAGCTTGGCTTGACAAATTTTCCCAATATGTTGAAAAGTGTGAGACTCAATATCAAACTAATCACACTCTCTTTATTAAATGCTCACTGAAAGGAAAAAAAGGGGATTATGATCATGCATGTGGATGAAAAATATTTTGAAGAAGCTAACCACTGAAACAAGTTTCTTCTGCTTACACTCTCTCTTTCACTATTTTTCTTATAAACTGCTTGATTCTTGTTGTTGGAGTAAGAGCTTCTAACTCAAAAGCTTCTTCTTGAGAATGCTTCTTGAAGCATTATCTTCACTCTCTCTCATTTCACGTTGAGTCTGCCTCTTAATCTCTAGTTATTCACTCATTCTCATAAGAATTCATAATTTTGTTAGTATTTGTTTATCTCTTCATTAGTTATATCTATTGTCCAAAGTGATAGTGAAATAGATGAAGATTTTATCAGTAAAATTCAAAGTTGGATGGTTGAAGTGGAGGAATGCATTGGGCCTATTGTGAAAAGTACCCCTCAAACTTAAGGGAAAATTGTATAAGATGGTGGTGAGACCTACAATCCTTTATGGAGCAAAATGTTGGCCATTAAAAGAAAACATGCAATTAAATTGACTGTTGCAGTGATGAGGACGCTCGGGTGGATGAGTGGCCTTACTCTTAGAGACGGAATGCGAAACAAGCATATACGAAAAAGGTTGGAGTAGCTCCAGTGGCAGATAAGATTAGAAAGTCACCTTAGATGGTTTGTTCACATAAAATCTCGGCCTTTTGATAACCCAGTTAGGAGCGTAAATGTTTTAGATTTGACCTATGTTAAGAGAGGTAGAGATATAGCTAAAAAGATTTGGTTAAAAAATATTAGAAATGGCATTTTTTATTAGATTTACATGAAAATTTGAATTTTAATAGGACACAATAGAGAAAAATGATTCATGTAGCCAATACCACATAATGTGATAAAGCTTTGATGTTATTGCTGTCTTATTTATATCTTTGATTTTATTTTTCTTTAAAATAGAAATAAATTAAAATTATTGAATGTATCATTATATTTGTTAAAAATTATTACCTGATATGATTTAAGTTTAGTTAATTAAATGACTAATGTCATGTCATGAAGAATCTAGTTTCGAAAGTGTCAATTTGTTTTGTACTTTGCACAATGAAGCAAAAAAAGGCTTGAGCATCACACTGTGCTAAACGCTGTGAAAATACCAATATTAATTGTTTTTAACTTGTTTCTAGCAAATAGCAATCAAAGTATCTCAAACATAAAATCCCCTGAAACCTTAGAAAGTGACATAAATATATTTATCAGTCTTCATTGTAACTAAGCTCCATGAAGTTGATGTGTCACAATCTTTTACACTTTGTATTATACTCATTAAAACGGATCATTTCATAAGGCAAATAATTAAAAATATATATGCCATGATATGAATGTATAAAAGATTAAAAATGTGCTCCACTAGATTCAAGTTGAATTTCTTATAGAATTCCATATTCAAAACATTTAGAAAAAAAATTAAAGCACATTTAATTATAGATTCAAGTGCTAAGGACAGATGAAAACTTGCATCAGAGGATGACATGCAAGACAGAAACAATAGAACGATCAAACCTGACATATTTATTGAAGAAAAAAAATGATAGAGATGCATATGTTTAAAGAAAGTAGTTACTGTACATTAGACAGTCTAAATGGGCAAAACTTGGGCTTGCCTCTGCGCCCATACTTGAGTAAATATGCCCCTTTTTTAAGAGCAGTAATAGCCTGCAAGGAAAATAACAAAAGGTAAAATGATTTATTCAGGGACATGAATTTTAAGTTTTAATGCACGCTAAAATTAGTGGTAAAGATAAATTAACGTACATGAAAAGGTTGTTCAATATTCTGCGCATCAAATTGAGATATATGAAATCTAAAATGTAGGCTGACCCATAAAAAACCTTAATTCAAAAGCAATATCGCCATCCTCATCATCATCAATAAAGTTTTTCCCAATTATTTTAGGTTGGCTTTATATATTTTCTTCTCCATTTATACTTGCAAGTGCTATGTATTAACCCTAGTTTATGCAAGTTTTTTTTTTCCACAAAAGCTAGCCCGGCTAGCTTTAATTTATCCATTTCCTTAACATTCAATTCTTATTCTCTACTGTATTTTTCCTATATATTTTCCACCATCTTAACTTCTAAACGTGCTCTTCCATTCTTTCAAACTCCATCCTTCCTAATTTTAGCACTTATCCACCATCTCAATCTCCATTATGGCCTATTCAACTAATTCAACTTGGTCGTCAATAACTTCTTTGTTGCCTAATACCTAGATTCCTAAAACATAACTGGTCTAGTTGCAAAATCAATTATAAAGAAAAATACATGTAAAAAAGCGTAATGGGAAATGAAACAAACATGCACATTGAAATGAAAAGATTTTTTGGGGCAAAGGTTAAACATAAAGCAGTGCATATCTGAAACAGTGATAATAGCAGAGAAGGGAAAATCAGTTGATACATCCTATCCTACATCTGACTTTGAGCAGAATTTGATTCCAACCATTACAACTAAATGCCATATTGCCATGTAACACTTTTTTACTCAAATAATTTCAACTGAATAATGTGGCACTAATTCTAATTCCAACCATTCCAACTGATTAGCAAGTCTCACTAAACTTAATTCCAACCTTTCTAACTCAATTCTGTGTTGTAGACCAAATCCTAAATGTATGCCAATTATTGTTCATTCACTGGAAAAGTTGTGTTCTATTCACCTTCCACGGTAGCTTGCCTCCCAAAGCAAACAGTTTTCTTCCAAGATACTTTCAGCTGTAAGGTTTTCAGACACATTCTTTTTTGATATTTATGCAAATGTAGCGGTATCTGTCATGGTGAATACAACAAATTCTAAACTATCAAAGTGTGAACTGATACACCATAAAATTACAAGACTCGTGACATGATTAGTTTGGCCCAAGCTGAGAAATCTTTAGATAGAATGAAGAATAACAATATGAAAACTTATTAAGCCAGTTGACTGAATAATAATTAAAAAAAAAAACTAATCCTTCATGAAATATGGGCATAGTTGGTGCATGAAGCTTCCATCAATGTAGGGTCAGGGAAGGTTGATGCAAGCAGCCTTATTTTTGCATTTACAAAGAAACTATTTTCTTCGCTTGAACATGTGACCTCCAAATCACAATAACAACTTAACCACCCACTAGAGTCACCTTTTAACTTTACTTGAATTATCCATTTATAAATTTCAAAGTAAGATAATTTTACCATGTAATAATGGTTAAATCAAAACTTAATAATTCAGGAACCTTCAAATTAAAGGAATGCATTAAAAAAAAACCCATAAGTGCCAATAATTTCATTATATTTGCATGCAAGCAAACCAGCACAACAGTTCTGGTCAGAGCAAAGAGCTAACAAGTCATCAAGTCATAATTAACAATGTAATATTAATTCAAAAATGACTTTGTTTGTGACGGATTTGATAAATTGGGGTGATGGAAAAATATATTCATAAACTTCATCTTCCAAATCAATTTTAAAATCATAATTAAAAAAATCAAGAAATACAACCTTTTTGGGAATATATTTTCATAATAGGCAATGCAACACAAGGTCCTAGAATGCACAGAAAATGACAAATTAACTCAGGATTTGTTTAGTTGTTGTCCACTGTTGTGTTACGTTATAATGTACAAAATAAGCCGACACTGCTCTCAAAGATGCAATAGCTTGCTAAAAGTGCATTCTGCATGATCGCGAATCCATTGAGGTGGCGCAAAAGCAAGTTAGGGATTTACATCGTGTGTATTAATCAACCCAAAAGTGCAGCATTGCTGGAAAGCAACATAAATCAACGCTATACTAAAAATGCAGCATAGATCTTCTAAATGTTGCTTCTCATAAATTTAGGGGGCTCTAACTTAGCTTTAAAGAGTAATTATTAGAACAGGACAGCCAATACATACATCAAAGAGTCTCTACAAGAGATAGAAATAACTTCCATCATAAAAGAGATCCCAGAAAACTTATTCATTAGTAAAATCCGCTACAGAAATAAGGTTGAAAAGTGGGATATTCTCTGAAATGTATTCTATCACCAGACAAAATACAGTCCATGCGCACATACTAGAAGCCTATCCTCAAAGGGAAGAACAACATTAAAGGACTAATTACAATCCTAAGCAGTTGCCATCATTCAGAATAGAAACAATCCACAGATAATGATAAATAATATTTCATTGACATATGGCTGGACAATTCACAGAATGTTATTTCTCTCACAAAGATTTAAAGAGCAAAAAAAAAAAAAAGAGTGGAAGATTTAACAGCATCAAAACCTAGGTTCCATAGATATTGCCTGAGCATGTGATTACCTAGGTCCTATGAGGTTTCAAATGACGCAGCAAACTACAGTCAACAGAGATAAAATTACTGATTGACGACCGAAATTGATATAAACGTAAACACCTTCCATTTATTCCGTTCCTCCGATTTTGTACTAAAATTCACTAGTATTACAACCTTCCCAAACAAGTGTAACTTAAGACAATCAAAACGTGCTGCTCTTTCAGTACTGCCCAGTCCATCCACAAGCAGCACCACATCTCAAACTACTAGAATAGCAAAACATTCAATCTCAGCTCAAAGAAGAGTAGCAAAGCAGGAAAAAACAATCGTCGGAGTAGTACCTGCTCGATGTCCCTTTCAACATGGCCACTCCTTGCATTATCCGTAGCCGCTGCCGACATTCTTTCCTCCCTTACCAAGCATTAAGATCCGATCCCACTACTTAAATACATCGAATCTCCCCCCATTCCAACTGGTCGAGCTCCCGTCTACCTCAATCTCCAGCAAAACGTCGCCGAATCACCAGCCCCACCCAAAAACTCGGCAAAAACTCAGCCCTCAATCGGAAATAAAACACCGAATCCCCCCGTCATCCAGCCTCTACGGTACCGGAAATGCAGTTCAACACCTCGTATGAGCATTAGTAGCCGATGGCTGTCTTTGGATCCGAATGGCGATGAAGTAGAGCTCCCACTTTCTCAGCGGATCAAGGGCGAGAATGTAAGCGGAGAGGGAAGAGGACGAAAAGAGAACTCGCTTCTTCTTCTTCTCCTTCTTCCTTTTTTTTTTATTGGTATTTTAGTGCCTTTTTATCACTGCCGATCGATCTAATAAAGAAGAAAATATACCATTGGAAAAACGGTGACCAAGGAGAGCTAGAGCTGCACTGCAGTGAGTGGATGAGATAAAAAAACACCCTGTCATCTGATAATTTTGCATAACTACCCTCCTTTACTTGCCCGAAGTCCATCGGGGAGTAAACCCAGCGGTTCGGTTTTCGAACCGGTCGTCCGTTAACCCGGCCACCTGGGAACCCGCATTGGGAAGTATAACCATGTTGATTAATTAATTCTCTTTTTGCCTTTATTTAATGTAATTTTTAAAAATGTCATTTATGACGACTTATTATTTATTTTCCGGAGAAAAAAAAATAGAAATTTCTTTTGACACTAACTTCAAAGCAGAAACCAACAAATATATTTATTTCAACAAAATAATAATATCTTTTTTTTAAGAATGATTTACTATAAATTATAAATTATGTGATTCAAATTAAAAATCCTACTCTAACTTAAGCAGCATATCTTTTCACATAATTTCATTTTACATCAAATAATAAAATTAAGATAAATACTTTAATAAAGCTTATATTTTATGTGCAACAACATTTTTATTATTGTATTTTTTCAGCATGAAATAATATTTTTAATTTGGCCATTATTTTTTCGCTGCTTCCAAAAAAAATTTTATATTATGAAGATATTTTTTACAACAATTTTAAAAATTATTTTTTCTATAGAAGTTTACAAAATTGTAAGAATGAAGTAAAATATTTAAAAATATAGTTAGAGCACTTTTTTTTAATTATTTTTCTTACTTCCCCAAAAATGAACTATATAGTTATCATCTAATATTTCTAAACGAAATCATGGAAGATTGATGTATTCTTTTGGTTTCTAGGTTTTTTGAGATGATGAGCAATGGAAAAGATGGGAAGGAAATGATTGCCTGCTGCTTCATGCAATTGAGTTCCATTATTAGGAAAAAGTTCAGTGATTTTCCACATGATCAATGAAATCAAGGCCATTCATTTGTTGAAAATGAGAGCGTGGTTCAACGCCATGATGGCCGTTCGATCTCACTAATTAGGTTTTTTTTTTTGGGTAATCTCAATTGAAAGTTGGAATCTTATATGTATATATTCGATATTAAATATATATTTATAAGATGATTGTGTTAGTAAATAAGAACAAGGCTACTATTATAGAAACAGTATTATTATTCATTTTAAATATTTGCTATTAAAATTTTCAAAATAAGATATTATTATGATATATAAATTATTTCACTATAGATATTCTGAATTAATAATCACATTTTTGAAGAAAAATAGTCATAGTTGACAAATCCTTATGTTTGAGGTAGATTGCCCTCATGATAGCATACATAATCTATATGGTGATAAAAAGAATGGTATGTTAACATAAGGAGGGTCAAACAAGTAATTTTTTTTAACTCTTAAATATAATGTGATTATTATTATGCTACAATTATTAAAAATAATTTGCGTTATTGTGGCATTGTTGATCTCATTTTTAAATAAAGACAATCTTCTCTCTCTTAAGATGACTCCTAGTACTTAGAATTTCAATATTTCATACCATAGTGTAGAAATTGCCTATAGGATTATGCTTAGGGAACACCTAAGGAGATAGCATAACTTGCTCAAGAAAGCCTATAAACCCTTTAAGACACTTCTTCGTGACCTTAGAAAGGTGATAGGCTAACCTAAATTCAAACCCTTTTTTTTAAACCTAAATTCAAACCCTATGGTTAACTTAGGTTTTGAATTTAGGTTAGCCTATCACGTTTAGGTTATTGTTGTGGAACTAGAGACGAACCAATGTTTAGTCAATTCGAGTGCTAGTCCTGTTGTGTCTCCTGATTCCTTGGGGGTTGGCTATCACGACATTTCTGCGACTGCTGTTGGTAATGTGGTAAATTTAGCTGAGTTGCCTATGCTTGATTCTACAAGTATTAATCCTGTTATTTCGGATGTGTTAATTCTCACATATTCTTTTCATGATAGTCTTCCTCCCATTAGTGTGGTGGTTATGCCTGCTAGGCCTGTGGCCTTGCCCCCTATTGTGGTTGACCCTCTAAATTGTGTTGTTCCTGAGTTTTTTGAAGGTGTTTCGAACTCAGAAAGTTTGGGTGGTCCTAATGCATTGAGTGATTGTGTTTTACAATGTGATCTTTCACCTATGAGAGTTTCTACTTCTATAGCTGTAGAATGTTTGAAGGAGGAGAATAATGCTTTATGTGAGATTAATAGGGAAGTTGGGCATGAGCTGTCCAGTGGTTCGGTTCATGTTGTTTCTCCTCAAAATTCTGTGGATTTGGCTTTGACTGTTTCTCTTGTGGGTCAGCTCAGGATTAATTCTTTGGTTTCTTACAAAGTGGACCCTACTGTTGTTTCTCCGGTGACGCCTACTGTTCAGTTGTATGGACAACTTTGTTGAGATCTCAGTTAATTTAATTTATGCTAATGTTTTGATTGCACATGTGGGCGTCAAACTGGGGGAAAGGGTTAAGATGCAAACTGATTGGCTTGAAAGCTCTTCTCCTTCTTCTTCTGAGGTTGAAGAAATGGAAGTTTTAGCTCATAAAGGTATTTTGCAAGATGATAATTTTTGGGTGGGTATACGTAGAAAGCGAAAATCCAAAAAATAGCTCATTCTTGGTTTGTTTGATGGGTGCCAATTTTCTGTTTTGTTTCTTCTCCTTTGTTGGCGAATTTTTGGTTTTTCTGGAGGTGGTATTTTGTTGGCTTTGCTATTATAGCTATTTTTATTTGGGCTATGATGTGACTCGAGCTCACCACTCTGGATTTGTGGCTCATTGGCAACCTTTGCTGGTGTTTCTTCTTAGCGGTGCTGGCGGTTGGTTGGCTTTTTGGTGGATTATTGCTCACTCACTCCTTTGGATGATCCGTGCTTGGCTTCGGAGTGGTTGGAAGTATTTGCCAATACTGAGCCCAGTGGGCTTTGGTGGCTACTTATCTTCTTGGTCTCCCCTATTGTAATCTCTTCTTGTATCCAGTCTTTATGCTTGTTTGGCCCTTGTTGTACTCCTTTTTTTTCGTGGAATAAAATTTTCTTTTCTTAAAAAAAAAAGAAAAACATAAATCTAAAAAACAAAAAAATTTAAAAAATTTTTTAAAAAAAATCTAAACCTAGATAATATTTTTATCAAGCATACTTAACATTTAACATAATATAATAAGGAATAAAAATACATAGAAAATCCTAAACCTATTCCCAAATACTCAAGCATTGTGATTTGCTCTTGGAATTAGTTTTAAATGAATTCTAACTTATATTAAAATCATTTGAACTCATTTCCAATCTTATTCAACCCCTATTTGACCAAAAATGGTAAAACTACCAAAATACCCTAAGGTGCCCTATGTAAGCTCCTTAGATCAAAACCCTAAATCAAAGTTTGGGGTAGATTTTAAAGGCTCCTAAAATGCTATATAATTTACATTATAAAAGAAAAAATAAATAAATAAAGGGTCCTAACAACCTTTTTTAAACATTATGAGTCATTCCCTATTCTTGGTTAACCCCTTTGACAAGAAAAGGTAAATTTACAAAAATGCCCCTATAGGACCTACCCTTGTACCCATGAGGTCAAACCCTGGATATTGGGTTATTATTGATTCTAAATACCTCCAAAACTCTTTTGGAGTCATTTGGAGTGATTTTTTACTCATAACAGTATATTTACAAAAACTAGCTATTTAACTAGAAAATTTCATAATTTTCACATTGACTATTGGACTTGACCCAATAACCTAAACCTAATCAGAAGACCTTGTAAGTGTCTCTCTTTGATCCAAACCCATTTTGGGTCATTTAGAGTCAATGTTGACCATTGATACACTCCCTTGACCATGGTCAATCCATCAACAAAAATTCCTTAAATACCCTTATACCCTAATCCTTGAGTAAGTCTAGCTCAAAGCTAGTCTTGTGACCTTGGGCTTGAGTCATATTGATCTAGGACTTTCTATGGGAGAAATTTGACTCGTCTCAATTCATGGTTAACCCCTGTTGACCATAATTGGACTCAAAATTTTCCAAAATGCACCCTTATGATGCATATCTTAGGTTTCTTAATACCCTTCATTTGATCTTATAATTATGTTCAAATCATTCAATACTATCATAAGATCATCTTAACACCTACTTAATTCATGGTTAATCCTAGTTGACTATTATTAAGTCAAATTATCAAAATACCATTCATAAACCCATTCTAGCTCTCATAAGTTTTGATTCATCTAAACATCAAACCCATGGAACCAAAACAAGGAATTATAGTTATAGGACTCTAACCTAGCTCCCTTAGCCAGCCTAGCCACTTAGGCTAACCAAAGTGAACTCACTGAGTTGACCCAAATGCACCTAAATTGTTAAAAACCTAATTCAACTCAACAAAGCCAAATCAACCCAATATATGCTTTCTTAAAACCCTTAAAATCTCATAGCACCCCTACCAACTCAACTAAATAGCTAGCTAGGTTAGGGTGGGAAGAAATAGCCATAGTTGACCCAATAATGTGCACTCAAATGGTGGAATGACCTTCCCAGATGTCTTTAAACCTAGGGATCATTTCAGGACATGTCTCTCATCCCTATTGGACTTCACTTAACCATCCCTGCCACTTGAAACTGCCTTCCATGACAAGATTTCTAGCCATATGCATTTTCAAGCATCTCTAAATAGAACTCTCACATGCTAAAAATTATATGTATAAATTATGGAAGTGACTTGGCAGAACTAAAAGAGGGGGTGAATTAGATGACTTTAAATAAATTCTTTTGAAAATTATAACAATAAATGTAGCACAGTAACAACATAAGTAAACTAATTTAATAATTTTTAAATTTTGGTTTTTAAAATGGTATATTAAAAAAAACTTTGAGTGCAAGATAATTTAACAAAATATTTTTCTTAAAAAATTAGAATTTATTATAATTTTTTTTTTAATTCTAACACAAAGTAGTTCTAACCATAAAATCAAAGTATGCAAAATATAAAGTAATGCAAAAAAAAA